TCCAATTCTATAAAGGATCTAATATGATCTACTTATCAACTGTATTACAATATACCAAGAATATCAACTAAATACTCATACACATTCTTCTATTATATCAATATATAGCATATATAAATGATATAATATGGATAGTCAAAGATAAACAAAAGTTACAAAACATACTAAAAACAGTCAACTTCTTTCTTTTTTATACTAACATCAAAGTCAACCACTACAAATTAACACTAGTGACTAATGATTTAGATCCTAATACTAATATTTTTTTTTGTTAAAGGCCATACTTGTAATGATACTTTATTGACTTATATCAGGTTAGCTATTACAACTATTTTTTACAGAAATAAGAGTACAGCTAGTCACATGTGCAACTTTTAGTTGCCTATTTAAGTAGTCCATCCTAAGGTTCTATACTAAATATTGTACCTATAATTTACTAGGAGATTATCCATTTTAAACCTCTGATCATCTGCCCTGTTATATTGGAATCTCCAACTAACCCTTCATATATACCTAACTGGTATACTGTCTGAGCAGTATGATTATCTACCCTTTTTGTACTGGTTCCCAGACTATTACACATTTTAGAGTATATCACCTGCCAGTAAGATGCAGGAGGCCCCTTATTGTTAACTATCTATCTACTTTTAGAACACTAATATAGGCTACCCTTATAGAGTTTACTCAGACCCCAGTACTGACTTCACAGCATATTCCTAGTACTTTTAGTATACCTCTGTTTTGAACTCAGACTTCCAATCCAAATAGCCTAGAAAGACTGTGATCTGTCTTTGGTATATTAAGGTTAGCCTAATATTCTTTTTCTCTGATTCGAAATCTGGTAGCCTGGTTGGTGGTACCCCTTATCTGAGGTTCTTGCCTGCCTGAATCTTTCACATTAGTATCCATTCCTAGGTCTAGTTTTTATAGTAGTACTGTCAAAGATCTGTGTTACTCCTCTGTTTAGAATTTCCAAGTAGGCTTCAGCTTCTCAGTTCTACAAATTTAAATGGCCTAAGGACTTATTTTAGATTTGCACTGCCCAGTACCAGTTTGTATTCTTCTGTGTAACAGGTTACACAGATGCCCCAGACTTGCCAGTCATGCTGGTGTGACCATAGTTACAGATATCCTATCCCAACTAATCAACAGAATGTTATCACCATAATACTGTCTTATATTACATAGATAATTATCCAAATTTCATTATTAGTGGGTTTTGAACTTACAATCTATCACTTGGAGATATGACAACTTATTCACTTTACTAAGTTGCCACACCCTCTTAATGCTAATATAATATTTCAAGAAAAGAATATATCAAATATTTAACAAAAAACAATATTTAGACATCTGAGAACATAGCTTATCTAAAACTCATCTCTTTAAACTATAAAAAAATTTTCTTATCAAAAACATTATCTATGATTTAAAGAAAATCAAATTTGCTAAAATAACTAACAAACAGGCTATTTATATTATGAATAATATAATCCTTACATGTGTAGCATATTAAATGCAAAGCACTTATTTATCAAAATGCTTTTGTAACTCTATTACAAATCTATATACAAATATTGTTAAACAAAAAGCTTAACTAGCTCAGTTTACTCCTAACTCTATCCTATATCATCCTAATATATATGCTCTAAATACACTTTACAATGTTCAACAACAACAACAAATTCATACATTAGATTGAAGCATTAATTCTTCTGACTTTGACACTTATAGTTTAAAAATCTGATTACAATAAATTCAAAATGCAGCCAACTTAAACAAATTAATTTTACTAGAACAACCTATATTAACTACAAATAAAATTAAAACAAATACAGTCAAATGATATTTACATTTTACTTACTAAATATCTAGCTAGAATATACAACTAACCTATGGCCTATTCCTAAACAAACAAAGAGCATATCTATTAACCAAATTCTTCATTTAATGAAACAACTATACACAATTAAAAAAAAATTAAACAACTACAACATATCTGTATTAAACAATTTCTTAACTACTCAAACTACAATATTCTAGATTAGATATCATTTTATCATAATATACAAAAAATATTAAAAGAGAAAATGCCAAAATAGTTCAAAGCAATCACAAACAATATAATCTTATCAACAATTCCATCTACAATACTAAACTATCCTAACCTATACATCTTCACAAAAATTAACACTATAACTTTACAATAGATAATTACAAAATCTCAACAATTTGGAAAATTAACAAGCATTATCTATAACTAGGCCAAAATCAAACATTATAACACTTATTTGCTAAATGCTCATCAACTAAAACTATGTCTTAGATATCAAATCAAAAACCTAAAATTTAAAACAACTTATTGCTATTTTACTAACTCTATACATTTGATCTTCAAAATTCAAGCTAATTGTTACAAACAAATTTATGCAAATCTTAATTGTTTATACTTTCATCAAACAACTATATAATCTAAACAAAATTACAAATATTTATTTTTAACTTCAAAATATTAAACTAACTATCAATTTTTACAGACCTTTGCAAATAACCAAAAAGAAATATAGAAATTATATATAACAAGTTCATTTTCAAAAGAACTAAACCTCAAACTTACAACTACTTTCAAGAAAACAAATAAATTCAATACTTCTTATGCTCAACTATTATTTTAGCATAATGATTATATATAGCATTGCATCAACCAAACCTTTTCTTCTTTAGATTATGCAATATTTACAATGCTTGCAATAATCCTTACAGTAATAACAGAAAAGATGAAAATTCAAATATTAATTGACAAAAACAACATTTTTATTAAAATTTTAACAATGTTTATAATGTTATCTGAACAAAAACATCAACTAAGAAAAACTCTTTTTAATAATATTACTATTCTTCTTAATACTATAATCAATGCTAAAAACTTAAAGATTAAAATTAATTTAACAAAAGAAAAAATTAGTATAAAAAATGCCTCTTGCCAATTTAACACTAACCTGTTATTCAATACAGTACTAAATACTACTTTTACTCTTTTCATAATGAATACATCAACTACATATGTAATTCATCAAATATCTAAAATTCTACAACAAGCAGAAGCAATTATTATATGAAATAATCAGAAGTACATCAAATATATCTTTAACAATCTTCTTAATATTAATTAGAAACTTATATTTGAATATCTTAATTTTAAAAATAAACCTCTTAGTCAAAACACTAATTTTACAAAATCTACTTTAAAAACATTCAAAATCAAAATTCTAACTTTAGAACTACTAACACATCTTAATCTTCATAAAAGAAATCCAAAAACCCATACTAATCTATATTGTACAAAGTGTCTGAATATATTAGAAGACACAGTTCATATGCTTACCTGCCTACATAACCAAATAGAAATAAAAGAAATAATAAAAAAAGTAATAACAAAACCTGTGAAAATAATGAAATTAAAACAACTATGTCAACAAATCTAGTTCAAAAAATTCAAAACATCTATATAGATCAACAAATTCTGATTAGAATTATAACAAATAACTTACTTGAACTAAAGTTATTAAAAAAGAACTCACTACCAAACATTTATTATTGAATTACAAAAAAGATACATAAATATATATAGAAGCCAAATAGAACATATATTCAACAACATATTTTATTTGCACCAACTATTACTACCAGTAATCCAGACTATATACTACTAATGTTAATAGATAGACAATATACTTTATAGCTTAATAGATTTATACATTTAAACCAAACATCTCCTCTTACTAAACCTATAGACTAAAGGTCTCTTAACCATTCTAGCTAAGAATAGATTAAGAATAAATTAGCCCTAACTCCTACTCCTTTAGTTTAATGTATTAATTTGTACTAGTTATACTTAATTATATATTACTGAAATAGAGGACTAGAGAAAAAACCTCTTTAAAAAAAAAAATATATATATATATATATATATATAATATTTTAATAAAAATATAATAAATAACTAACTAAATAATATATAAAATATATTCTATTCTGCTTTTTGTTTCTGTTTTTTTCATGATTTAGTATAATTTGAATCATCAGAATTAATATCAGATTCAAACTTATTATTTAATAAAAAATTGATATTTTTTTGTTTGAATCTGACAAATTAGTTGATTTATTATTATTATCATTTGATTTTTAAAATTTCTGTTTATAATCAAATAACTCTTTACATTGAGAATAAACTTGTAAATATTTTTTTTGAATTCCAAAAAATGTCTACATCAATAAACTTATTTATCTTTAATTATTACTTCTTCTAGTTTATTCTTATTTAATTCTTTTACTTTTTTAATTATTTCATCTATTGTATCTTCTTTTTTATTATATTTTAAATCCTAAATCATATTATGAAAATCTTTTTCAGAACCTTTATGAAAATAAATTTGTATTATTCATTTTTTAATATCATCATTCTATTTTTCTATAAATTTAACTATATAGTCAAGTCTTTTTTCAAATTGTCTCTAATCTCTCTGAACTGTATCTTCTGTTTCTTGTATTCTAAAATTAAATGTTTTATGAGTGATTTACATGATGTTATAAAAATATACTTAGCAAAAAATGGTTTAAATCATTTTCTTTTTATTTTAATTTCTTCTGATTTATTATTCAAATAATTTGTAATATCATTCTAATCAATTTGGTATATCATTTATCAAGAAAGACTATTGATTGATTTGTATATACATCTTACTAAAATATAGAAAAAAAAATTTTAATTTTATATAATTTTAAAGCTTAAAAAAAATAATAATATAAATAATTTATCCAATTACTGCCTAAATCTTGGTTTTTTTTTTCAAATAAAATTCCGAACTAAACAATTTTTGTACAAGATTTGATTTTCTTGCACCACCTTGACCAAAAAAATAAAATGTAACAGAATGCCAAAATCTTTGAATATTTTTTTTATTGATTTTTTTAACAGCCTTTCTAATTAAGTAAATATTTTAAGAATTATTTATAAAGCATTGTAGATTATTTTTAGCATATTTTACAATAATTTTATTTTCTGACATATTATTGTTAATAATATTTTCTATTAGTTCTTTTGCTTTTTTGAGTATTTTTGTTGTATTATAGTTTTCTAAATCAATAAATTTAGATGCATCAAGTATAAAATGAAATGGTCCACAAATTTTTGGATCAATACTGATTTATGCTAAAGACCTTTTATATTCTGAATTACATTTTAAATATCTATCTGATGAATCTTTAAAATTATATTTACAAGGTTAATATTTTGAATCCTTATATCTATCAAAATCTTTATTAATATATGCAAAACAATCTTCTTTAGTTGCATTAGTATAATGTATATGTAGGTTTGTTTTAAAAATTTTTTTGATTTCAGAATCAGTTTTAGTTTGAGAATTAAATTTGCCAAGTCTTTGCTAATTTCTTAATTCATACCAGTCTTGAGCATGATATTTGTTTGAGTCTTTAGAATTATTATTTGGTTCAAATTTAAAATATACTTCTTTAAATAGCATAATTGTTTTTTAAAAAGTTGTTTTAAATATTCTTTAATAGTATCAAATTTTTCATAAGATGTGAAATTAAATTTTCATAATTGAGTATCTGAAGTTATATTAGAATTTTGTAAAAACATTTTTATTTTATATAAAAAAAAATATAATAGGTATTAAAACACTTATTAGAAATTATTTATTTTATATATTATAATTATATTATATTATCTTTCATCTACCAATAATCTAATATGACAACAAATACAATCAACTATTATTACATGAATACAATAAGCTTTATAGCAACAATTATATATCATTGTTCTTGGTAACTTTAATTTAATTACTCTAACTACTATCTTTAATGCAACTAAATATTAATTTCTTAACTATTTTTATAATACAAACATATATGACCTGACTAGCCATACTAATAACATTGATATTATTTGGCAGAATAGTAAATATTAAAGCAGAATCGACTACATGTAGGCCAGTAAACATACAGTCTCTTTTTTCTTAACAAATTTTATTTAGACGATTTATCCAAAGCTATTAATACTAACCACCAAATCCTAATATTACAATGAACCTTTCTCTTTATACTTAAATCCAAACAGAAAAACAAATATAAAAGAAGAACTTTTAACTACCAAGCAATGACAAAAAAGAAATAGAAAGAATTTACTAATCAAATTAACACTAATATGCAAAACAACAACATTAACTTACTTATACTAGAAACAGACATATTAAAAAAACTTTGGCACAAAATATATACATTTGTTATAAATACTGTCCTTCAACATATATTTAACAAAAAATATACTATAAAACATTCTTTTCACACCTTTTCATCCAAAGCAACAGCTCTTCATAAGGACTTTAAACAAATTAGTAGTATTATCAACAATGTTAAAAACTTATTCAAACATTACTAACTAATTACAAATACTATTATTGACAAAATTTATAATATTAACCAAAAACATGATTTTGATATACCAAACCCTTCTTCAAACTCTCAATTATTATCACAATAGATCTTCCAAATAAAATAATTATAAAAGGCTATAAATCATATTAGAAGCTTGAAAAAATCTCAACACCTCTATTAATATATTAACAAAGCAATTAATAACAGATGTGAACAACTACTAACTCAATCAACTAAAATGATTAATAGCATTTTTAATCAACATACTGATCTAGTAATTCTTTATAACATTAAAACAGCAAATGAAGTTATACCTAATTCTTCTACTATACTTTCATATATAAAACAATATTTCTACCAATGAATAAAACACCAACCTTATCAAACTAAGACATTTAACCTGCACTGAGCCAATAAATATCAATTTAAAACCTCCATTAATATAAACTGATATGCTTCACTCTTATAACCAATTATTACAAAGAAAGTTTTACATACTATTAAACAATTATCCAACAACAAAGTATACAGACCTCTTGAAATAAGTTACAAAATGCTTAAACACTGTGGACTACACATGCTATATGCAATTACACATTTACTTAACAAATGTTTTAATACAAACAATATCACTAAACAATAAAAAAATAGTAAAATTTACCTAATATCAAAAAAGCCAAACTTTGATAAAAACCTTAACAACACATTTTATTAGCTTGATAAAACATACCAAAAAACTATATACAAAAATACTATCAAACAGAGTCTTATCTATTCTATCAAAACACCCAATACTCAATCCTTACAACTATATTGCATTGCCTAGCAACAGCACAAATACTCTTATACACATACTTAACAACTTTATCAAAGTTGCAATATGTAACGAAAAACCACTTTGGCTCTTATTACAAGATATAAGCAAAGCTTATAACTTTGTTAACATTGCTCTTCTAGAAAAAGCCTTATATAGAATCAAACTTTCTTCATCTATTATCCTTACAATTATCAACTTACTATCTTCATGTACTAACCAAGTTATTACCAACTTTGGTCTAACATTTATATATGCAGTAGAAGATGGAATTGACCAAAAAGAAACTATTACCTCTCTTCTATAGAGAATATACAGTATTATAACCTATTAATCTATTATATTTACACAAAATTCAAAGGATACACTACTGCTTCAACAAAACTAACCTTACTATTTCCCTTTAAATATCAACAAATACAAGCTAATATCTTTATTTTTACCTATATAGGTAATATATTATAGATTGCAGACTCTCAACAACAACTTCAAAACATTCTCAATACAGCTTTAATATTTTATCAGATGGGAACATCAAAGTTAACCTAAACAAATCTATCTTAATATCCAACACAAAACTTATACCTATATTCAACTTCATAAATACTACTATACAAATACAGCCTTACAACACATCTTTAAAGTTCTTAGAATGCTAGTATATAGCAACTAATACACAATCCATTATATTCAAAATAATTATACAAGAAACATTAAGATTAACTAACATTATATAAACTAAACAAATAATAGACAAACAAACTAGTTACATTATCAATAATGTAATTATACCTATCTTTAAATATCAAATATATAATATAGTCATATCTTACAATACATGCAACAAGATTTTGTCAAAATATCTTATTGTAGCCAAACACAAATCCAAACTTCTAGTTACTATTCCCAACAGTATAATGCTTAATTATAACATTTGTGAAATTAAAATATATGGGATATACAACTAAATATCATATCAGCAACTTCTTTTTTTAACTTAACAAAACAAACCTACTTGAAGTTACCACTCAAATAAAATTAAAACAACTTCAAAACAACCTTTGGTTAACTATTAACATCCTTTAACATTCCAACCCTTCCATAGATGAAGCCAATAAACATACTACAATGTTTCAAATAATTCAACTTCTTAGACACATGCAGCTTACAATCTTTGCTTACTTAATACAACCTTACATACTAATATACCTATACATCCAATCAAAACTCTTTTACATACACATTCTAACTATAACAACTTCAAAAAACAGTTATGTAACAAACACATTTTATATTTTGAACAACTCACATTATTTGATAACTCTATACTTCTGAACTGAATATACATCTTACCTAAACTTGAACAAATTCCTACTAGACAAAACATAAATAGTTTATTATACTAGAAAACAAAATTATTATAGACAATCATATCAAACAAATAGACCTATCACTAAACCTCTCTATCTCTAATTTTCTATTATTCACAATGGGTCACTATAACTCTAAATCTAAACTATAGCTAATTATTTTTGACTACAACTATCAAAAAATAATTATTGGAAAAACACACAATATAATTCTAATAACAATACTATTTCAATTACATACTGGCTGACCAAACATGACTCTTCCTATACTAGCCTTTATCTACTTCCAACTATCAATTGTATATGATGCACAGGATGCATACACAACTCTAACAGAATTCAAAACTATTGTACTTTTAACATCTTAGCTAATTCTGTAACAAAATTTCTAGAACAGAAAAAATACAATACAAAAGAACTTAACTTAAATGCAAACTTGTAATGATTTACAAAAATCATATTACTAAAAAAGTCATTAATAAAAGTCAAAAAACTAAAGAAGTCACTTTAACAATAAAAAAAAAAAAATTTCTTTGAAACTTTGGTTATAAGTTTCTATATTCTATAATAATAAATAAAAATTCTAATTTTAAAAAAGCTAGTTTATTTTTTTAACAAAAAATAAAAAATTAATTATAAAGAATTATATAAGAAAAGAATGTAGCAATCTAGTAAAATAGTCAGGTTGTCAACCTTCTAAGTGATAGATTGGATATTTAAATTTTATTGATAATAAAAATTTGAATAATTATTTATATAATATTCATATTATAGCAACTGTTACTAACGATTAAGTTAGGATATCTGTAATAGCAATTACACTAGTATGACTGGCAGATCATGAATCATTTATGTAACAGTCATGTAACATTGTTTTTTGAAACAAGTTCTGTGATTATATAAAGAAATGCAAACTAGCAATTAGGTAATATAAACACTAGATAAGTTTTTGTAATGATGTAAATCTATTGAAATCAGGTAACAAGAAATCTATTTGAGAAAATTTAAGTAAAAAAGTAACTAGATCTTTGATGATTCTACTGTAAAGGCTAGCTTAGAAAAATAGATATCAAGGTCATAATACTTAGTCATAGTAACTGAATGGGCAAAAGTCTCTAGATTAGAAGTTTCAGAAGTAGCACCAACTAGACTGTTAGAACAAACTAAAGAAAAAGAATATTAGGCCAATCTGATATATTGATGAATTGATTATAGTCTTATACAAACTATCTGGATTAGGAATTTGGTAAAAAGACAGATAAAAAAGCAGAGATATACTTAAATATTAGAGTTATACTGTAAAGTAAATGTTAGGGTCTAAGTGAACTCTATAAAGACATAGCAGTTTAATGATTAAGTTCTGACTACAAGTGTTAGTTCTGCTATAGTGATATCTAGATCAGCTATAAAAATAGATACAGAAGACTCTAAAGAATTTATCTTAAGGATAAAATAGTTCTAAAGTTGAGATGATGATTTAGGCATTAGATATAACTTAGTGAAATTAACAGGTTTACAGGTTCAAAAAGTTTAAAATGAAATACTCAAGCAGGAATGTTAGATATGACAATTGGTAAGGAACTTTTAGATAAACTCCTTAAATAGATAATATAAAAAAGTTATATATATGACTAATTGTATACTCTTTTTGTAGTAGTTTACTGAACTATATTTATTATTATTAAATAAAATCAAAAAATCTGAGAGGTTATCTTAATACTAAAAAAAAAAATTATATAAGAAAATATTTTTTATTATTACTATTGTTATTGTTATAATTATCTACTTTTTTTTTTTTTTTTTTTTTTTGTTTTAACCTTAAGCAGTTACGCTAGTACTTTATTAAGATTCTTGAAACTATATATTTATACAATTACATAGAATTTC